GAGTCTATCAGGTTGATCCCAGTCCTTGGGGGAGACCTTGATCTGGAGGAGGTGGGAATGGGGGGTGTGCTGGGGGGAAGGGGAGGGGGGCAGGGAGGGAGAGAACAAGGGAATCTGTGGCTATTATGTAGAACTGAATAGTATTGTAAAATAAAAAATTAAAAAAAGTGAAAAAAAAAGTAAAAACAAAAATAAAACAAAAAAGTCTACTTTCAAAAAAAAAAAAAAGGTTGGTGGTTGATTACTCCTTCAACATTCATGACAATATTGCACTGGTGGGTGTGTCCTGCCAGATTAGCCATTACTGTAGCTCTCATGACTCACACCATAGTGAATTGGATTATTACATTTTTCTTCGATAACATGTATAGACTTTTAGCACTATAAAAGCTAGACAATACAAGATTCCCTTCCCAATTTCTTACATAAGACATGACGAACTTTTAACCTGCTATTTCTTTTTTTAAATTTTTTTATTTATTTATTAAATTTAATTTTACATATCAGCCACGGATTCCCTTGTTCTCCCCGCTCCCACACCCCCAACCCCCACACCCGCCTTTTCCCCAGCCTACCCCCAATTTCCATCTCCTCCAGGGCAAAAACCTGGTAGATTCAGTCCAGGCAGGTCCAGTCCCCTCCTTGTAGGCTGAGCCAAGTGTCCCTGTATAAGCCCCAGGTTCCTGCTATTTCTTTAACCTCACAAAATAGTTGAGAGTCAGCTACCAAGAAAATATTAGTTTCTCATCAGGCTTTGAATCATGCTGAGGGAAATTAATGCTTAGGATGACTTTATTTAATGCCAGTAAAATATCACACTGCTTTTCAGGTGGGTGTGTTTTAGTTAATGGTTTGGAATTTGGAATTGAATGTAGGTGGACATGATCTAAGTCCGTTTTTTAAATATGAAATTACCAAAGAGTAAAAGAAGCAAATACAAAAAGTGGACATGTGGACATATGCAGACATAGAAATGTTTTTTAATTGGCATATGATTATTATATACACAGGGTTTCATAAGTACCTTTCCATACACATATGAATCCATTCATATCCCCCCAGCTTTCCCCTCTCTCATCCACTCAAATATATCATGGACATTGACCATATTTACTTTCTATTTCCCTCTTTTGTGTGTGTGTTTTATTTATTAAGAAATTTTCTATTCATTTTACATACCAACCACAGATCCAACTCTCATCCCTCCTCCCACACCCCCCAGCCATTCCCCATAATCCATCCTCCTCTCCCTCCTCTGAAAACATAAGACCTCTCATGGGGAGTCAGCAAAGCCTGGTACATTATGTTGAGAAAGGTCCAAGCTCCTCCTATGGTGAGACACCTTGCACAGAAATATTTTTCTTAATTCTGCTACACAACAGACTACTAATAGTCACAAGTTTTGTGTCTATTAGTCTAGCAGTGACAATAGTAATATCTGTAATATCTGGGCATCTATGAGGCACAGTTGCATAACAACTCGAAAATAGGTAGTTTATTCGTAGTTATAGGTTTTATTTGATAGCTTGTGGTGTCTAGCAGAAAACGCTGTCTCCAAGTGATAATGTATTTCAATTTAAACTCATTTTAGACATGAAGATATTTCAAGAACTTGTACAACAGTAGTTTACACATGACTCCCTCAAAGGTCTTTAGTGTTACTTATCCCTCCTCAAACTCCCTCCTCTACTCTGCCCTCCCATCTCCTGCCTGACCCAATCCTTCCTGCTCTGGTATTCCCCATTCTTCCTGCACATCACCTGTGCTCCAGTGTTGCCTACATTTTATTCCTGCCCATTTGGAAAGTCTCTAAAGAGAAAAGCATGAAAACCTGTCCTGTATACTATAGTTTCTCCATACTTTCCATCACTAGATGAAATCTTATAGTCTTGTTTATAATGATTGTTTATAATTTTTTGCATATCACTCACTCATGCTGCTTAATCTAAGTCCATAATATCAAAGGGATATTGGCTGTTCTCTTCAGATCTACTTCTAAAGCACTTAAAACAATAAAAGTTGACATATTCCCGGGGTGCTCCTTAAAAATATATAGAAATAATGAATTAATTAGTACACTTTCCCAGTTCTCTAAGAATACCTATACTACACAGAATATTTGTCCCACTGTTAGAAACTTATATAGTGCCAATGTTTTTATTTCTAGACAAAAATGTGAACAGAGTGACATCTATAAGACATGTAGAGCCACCAGTAACTCCAGAGGCCATCAAAGGGAACACCATATCAGAGTCATTAAGTTCAGAGGGAGAAAAAGATAACGTCCATCCCTGAATGTCACTCTGATTTGCTGAAAATTTCCAATGTCCTTTCCCACACCTGTAGCACACACTCAGATGAGAGGAAAGACTGTGATAGCACATTATAATAAGGTCTGAAATGAAAATATCAAAATTCTCTTCCTTTGGGAATGCCATTGGGAGCCATTAAATTTTGTGGCACAAAATTAAAATAACTTCAGTGCTGAGGAAGATTAATATGGCCAGAGAGTAAGGAGGAAGTGACTAGCAGTAGAGAGAAGGAACTAAGGTGGGTTGCAGAGGCAATTATAACAAGCAGTGAGTAGGAACACAAGAACAGGTGGGAGACAGAGAGCAAGGAAGAAAATATAGGGAAGCAGCAATGAGGGAGAAAGAAAGAAAAGAAAAAGGAATGTCCTTGGATTGAGAATAATCTGTTAGAAGTTCTGATAAACACAAATATATAAAGGAGATATTGCAAGGGAGGATTCTGCAAGTTTTCCTATTAAAGGGATACAAGCAAAAGTAGAAACAAACACTTCCAAGACACTGGCCTAAGGGATGACTAAATTGTACTATTGCCACAAGCAGAAGTTAAAAAGCATGAAATTCTGGTCAGATTTTTACATTTAATCTTGAACAACTGGACATGAAAACACAAATTTGAAGTAAGGGAATGAACCAAGACTAAATAAATTCAGAAACAAACATCAGGACTGGAAAAGTGTTACAGGTCATTTCTCTAGATAGCAAAGCAGAGGATTGGTGAAGTATGTGGGAAAAATTAAATAGAACAGCAGAAAGAAAAAAAAAGGAAATACCATAATTGCAGATTTTTCTCTTTGAGAGAAAAAGAAATATAGTAACTGCTAAAATTAATCTCAATTATTCCAGATTCCCCAAAATTACTAAGGGAGCAAAATTCCTTAGGGCAACCTTGAGATGTTCCCCACATGACAGACATTCATTGGGGTCACACAGTGATCAGGACTTGGTGATTCC